ATATATATATATATATTCATAAACGTGAAATGATTACATCTCATAAATCAAACTCGTCGCCTTAGATATCCGAGCTTTCATCGTACTATCCTGATACTGCTGTTTTTGTTGAATCCTTTTCTTTTGCGAGGCTTGAACAGCGCAGTTAGCTTTCGCTTAACTAACTAACTTGGTTCCTCTGTTTCCAGCTTACCGGAAGATGTACATGGGCGATCAGGTTCTTGGCTACACTTGCACTATGTGCAGCAAATTCTACAAGATGTGGAGTAACTATTTGAAACACAAATGTGAACCACCGCAATTCAAATGTCCGCTGTGCCCATTTGCTGCCTTCAAAGCCTTCATCCTGCACGCTCATCAGGCAGAGCAGCACTTCAAAGTTACTTCGCCGAATACTTAAACGACTTACGGCGATCTAGATCGGGGAGGAATTGTCAAATTGCCTTAGTCGTCGTTACGATTCTTCGTGGCATGTGTGCCATACTGCCACTAACTATCAAATCGTTCTCAAGAAATGAAAGAGTTTGCAGCTTCAAAATGCAAAGATTTATGAGCAAGTCATTTCGAGACGTCGACGACCTTTTTCTACGTAGTCCCGATTAGAAATCTCGTGAAAGCGTTCTCTTCAAAAAATATATTTTTCCTAAACTCGCTACGAAGGCGATGAGGTAGTTCCCGAGTCGTTATCATAGAATAGTTCAACATATTGCGTTAGTTTGTAATCAGCGATCGGCGCATTTTGTGAAAGGATTCAGATCTCACAGATGAACGGTGCATACAAATTTATAAATGAAAAATAGAAATGAAAATCGTCATTTGTAGTATATCTTTCTCCTCCCCAACACTTTATTATGTAATTATATATAACGCGACTGAGATATACAGAAATATAATTCATATACCAATGTAACGATTAGCGTTTAATCTACGGTAAACCGTAAAAGAAAGAAGACTGAATGACAATAATAAGGCGAAGATTATCTCTCTGTATTATGCTTTAAATTATTATAAATCTTTAAATGCCATAAACCATGTATTTTTTCTTAAAGAATATAATATCCTATTGGAGGAGTAGGAAATGTTCCCCTCACTGTATCTAAGGCCAAGTATTGGAAAGAACAAAGTGTACTATAAATGAATATTTTTCACCGAGGATCAGTATTGAGATCTGATGATAGATATTGCTGCAACAACACTATAAACTATCGATTCTCTCTTTTTCGCCACATACAATCTAAAAATTTTATCTCGGTACGAAGTGCCGACCGCTTGTCTGTAAAAGATATTGTATAATCCGTAGTATTGATAAATGCATGTATTTTCGTAATATCAATAATAAAGTATTATAAAAGCATCTAAAGCGAAACGACGGTCTTATTCTCAGTTAAGCAAACCAATACGATATATTATACGATAAATATGGCGATTCTTTCACTTTTCCCTCATCGTTCAGTAGAATCTCGAATCGATGTTTTATTCAATTATAACATAATATAAATCTTATTTTGATGAGCTAAATCTTTTCACTACTTTAAAGATTTTTTTTAATTATGTTTTTTTGCAGAATATTTATAATTGTTGATTTCTTTCAATGTAAAATTTTTATCCATTGTTGTTTCTTTCAGAATTGATCAATGCCGCCTCTGTTTTCCTTTAAGTATATTTTTTCAGAGCGCTACTAATAGATGATTGAATGCGCTCTCTGTTTCAGATCGCCCGAAGGATTTGGTAGGATTTCAAGAGCTTAGTGAGCTACCCGGTACGACACAGAAAAAATTGGATGTATACGCAGAATGCTAATGTCGATGCTAAATGCTTTTGTGAGGGCGAGAGCATTATTGATTGTCGTGACGTGTATTAAGACAGTTATTCAAGATGACTTTCTTTCTTCCGTTTCAGGTTTCCACACTTGCTGCGAATGCCAGAAAACGTACAAGTCGCGGATGGCTCTGAACCGGCACGTGCGAGAGGAATGTGGCAGAATCTTGTATACCTGTCCGTACTGTCGCAACATCATGCCGATGAAGTTTAATCTATTGAATCACTTGAAGAAGGAACACGGTTGCTAAGATTTAACTCGACGAGTGATTGCTGAAGAAATTCTCTTATCACTTCGCGTATTGATGTTAATATTGCTTCTTTCCCGTACAGCACAAAATATTGAGAAATGTTTTAAAAAAAAAAGATTTTTTTTCCTATTTTAAAAAATTTTTATTTTTTTTTTAAATTATC